GAAAGGCAGTTCATTAGCAATCCAGACTGGCCTGATGCATAATTTTTCCTGCTCTTTTTAGGAATGGGTTGAGTTTCCCGTTGTGTAAATTTAACAGCAATATTCCTGAAGAGATGAATTCACTGCACTGTGAACTGGAGCTTGCACAGTCTTCTGAGGTATGAATTAAACCTTAATCTCTTCCCAGTTGTCTTGCATGATCAGAGGCAGAACAAAGCTCATTCCCTGTAGATGATTAGGGAACTCTGGAATTTGAAGCCATTAATCCTAACATGTAAGCACAGAATGAGAAGGTTGCAATATTGCTCCAAGCACCTTGGATAAAGTCCAGAGAAGATCAAATACTTGTAGATATAAAATATTAGCTCATAGTATCCTAGAATGTCCTGGATTGGAAGGAATCTTAAGGATCATTCAGTTCTAACCCTCCTCTGCTCTACAAAGTAAATCTGGAGGAGCTTGGGTCATGCATTTGGCTGGCAGAACAGACTGATGGGAGAAGGTATCAGTTTTGCAATATATAAAGGCTTTTATGCTGCAGAAACTAGCTGATAGTCTGCTTCTTGTACTGCCTACACCAGACGTGAACAATGATTTTTTTTCAGTTGTGAAAGAGGAGACTTCTTTTTCTTTCAAGTTAAATGTAGTCAGAAAGAAAATTAAGCATTAAAATGAGCATCTTATTGGGTCCTAATCTAATGTATTGTCAAGAAACTCTGATAAGCATTGCTGATGACAAATCAAGTATATTTAAATGAATAAAATATTTATGTAAATATAGAAGATAATGCTTCAACTAAGACTTTAATCAGAATTATTTATTTATAACTACTTGTACAGTGCACTAGCTATTAAACCAATGATTTCCAAGCTAATAATTGTTAAATAGTTTATTACTCACCCATGTTGAGTGATTTGACCCATGGACAAGTCTTCAGCTTTGAGAAGTAACTTTGAGGGGTATTCCCGCTTGAAGGAGAGATCTCCACAAACACCTTGCTAGAAGGGGTATGTCAGAAGCCCCTGACTTTAAAAAGTGGGACTGGCTTTGTATGGTATAAAGTGATTGACTGTCAGATCTTTCCAGGTTCAGCTGTGTTCTTTGTCAGGAGCTTCGCCTGCTACTTCCTCACTGGTGCCAGTTTCTGTCAGGAAACATTGTTCTTCACATCCTCAGAATTTTTAACTTGGGGATCAAGGAATCAGGCAGATCTTTGCATTATCCAACACCAACAGCAGCATGATCTCTCCCCTTACCAATCCATCACTGATAATTTTTGCAAGTATAGGGTATTGTTGAAGCTGTCTTAAACCAGTTTTGGCAAAGCATCATGATACACTTATGGCTTTGGTTCTGAATTTAAACTGAGCTATTCTGTTCCCATTTCCTTAGACAATCCATGGAATCCCATTCTTCCCTGTGCTCTGCTTTCCCTTCAGCTACAAGCTGTGCAGCAGAGATGACAGCAGAGAAATGCTGCTGAATGATTTCCGCTTATTTTTGTACGAGGTGCATTTGCAAAGAGTTCGCATATATAGCAATGACAATAAAAATGTACAAATGGACTAAAACTTCAGGCCCAGAAAGGAGAGGTGGGCTTGGCTAGGCAGCTTTGAAGAGTTAAGGTATCATCCCATATTACAGCTCCCCAGAGCCCCAGTGAGTCACTGTTTGCCCTTCAAACACTGCAGTGAGACACGATTCCACCGAGTCACCTGTAAGCAAGGGCTCTGCTTATTCATCACTTAGTAAAGACTCCTCTGAATAAAGATAACTAATTACTGACTTCCTCTTGCCTACCCTGACATGAATATTTACACTGGATCACTCAGCAGCTTGGCTGGCTTGCTTTTTTTTTTTTTTTTTTTTTTTTTAAATCTTCATTGATGTGATGGTTTTGAAAAGGCTTTTCCAAGCCTCAAGTTTCAGTAGCTCTGACCTTCCAGTAAATACAGAGCAGGACTACTTCAGGAAAGTCTAAATGTCACTGATGCTGGTTTGTAATAAGGGGATGTCAAAACAACCTAGCTGGCTCTTCTGTCTCTTCAAAGATTATCAGGACTGAATGGACATCCCTGGATGAAACACTGGACCGTGAAGTGCTGCTTTTGCTTCAGGGGCCTGAATATGCAGGAGAAAAATTCAAGACTATCATGCATAACCTGGTCAGTGGCAAAGCTTACATGGATAAGGGTGTTGTCTTTGATCAGCAATTTAATCAAGCATTGATAATCAGATCGTTTACTCCTTTTGGAAAAATAAGAATAGTTTGAGATTGGAGGGGGATCACAGTTTAAAAAGATCACTTGGCTACTCTATTACTTAGCTACTCTAACACTAATTTATATCCTGGGTAATTCTGGGCAGAGTTGTTCTAAATGAGCACTAAAAATGCTGGAGTTTGGAGAGGTTGTTTTGGAATTTTTCTTCTTTAGCAAGAGGAAGCCTCTGAAGCAGAGGAGCTTGTCATGGTTTCATTAGAATGGGTAAAAGATCCTGATGAGGACATGCAACAAGCATGGGAAAGAAAACTTATGGTGAGTAACTTTCTCTGAAGCATTCAGTGAAATGGTGGAGCTGTGAAGAACTTCAGGTGGATGTCTTGCTGCTGCATGCTGTGTGTATTTATTACTGGAGATCAGAGTCCATCTGTGGGTCAGAGGTGGCTGCATGGAGAGAAAAATCTTTTGCTGGGGTTTTTTGAGGAGGAAAAGGATGATTGCTATTCACTTACATGCTGTGCTCTTTCTGGCTTGTCTTGTGCAAGAGCTCCCTTAGTTAAAACTCTGCTTGAAGGAAAGCTGACGGTCAATTAGCAGAGGAGGCTTTGTAACCAAATTTCCAAATCAAAACCTCCATAGAGTTATTTTGTTCTGAAAGGCAAAGAGTTCTGCTTCTACTGAATATATTTCACAGGAAAAATTTCAACAAAACCTTGTTTTACAACTTAATCTTGCATGATGTATTTCTCCTATTCCTCATATCTGTAGTGAGGCTTGCAAGCACAGACTTTTGCTCAAGGTACTGATAAAAATGTCTTCCTGATATAACTAAACAGTCTTGTTCCCTCCTTCTCTCCCCTATAACAGCACAGTTTCTGTTTTATGTTTTTCCATAAAATTTCTGTCTTATTGGATCTGACTTTTTCTCTAACCTGCTCCTTTCTGCTCATCTGTTGCTAGGAATGCTCCAACAACCCTAAGCTGTACATTAATGCTGTTTTTTAGCTCCCTAATGGATGTCAAACCCCTCAATTCCTCTCCCTTGGGTGACAGCAGGTGCCACCAGGGGATGTGCTGCTTGAGGATGTTGGTTCTTTGGGCAGAAAACTGCCCTTCTGTTTTCCTTTAGTGCTGCAGAATGGTGTAGCTGGCCCTCTTAATGTTTCCTGGGCAGGGCTGGAGCAATCATTGGGAGCCATCCAGTCCTGGAGCCAGTTTTTTTATAATTTTTCTTCAGGTAAATCCTGAAACCTCCCCCTTAGAGAAGGTGCAATCATCTCGCTCTCTTCACCCAGATGTGACTTTGGGTAGACTCCAGCCAACTGCTGGCTCATGAATTGCTGTAGCTTTTTGATCTTGACTGAAAACCTCCTCCTTCAAAGCTGTCAGAGCTGAAAAACGCTTGTGAAGTTACATTCAGGTTGGGATCATATTCATGTTAAATATGTGAAGCTAAAAAACTTTGGGTGTGGGAGTTAGAGTTGATTGCGGCAATTGAATCCTATTCTGGCTCCTAAAGAATGATGCATTTGGAAATTGAGCTAACAGAGGATCAAGAAAGAGCAAAATCCTTTAAAAATAAAAGGTTCCATCCTTTAGGGTCCTACAGGGGATAGGAAATCACTTCATGTCAAATTATCTTCACCTAGACAGAACATGTTAGATATGTGTGAAATTTTGTGCATGGAGCTGAACACCAGTAGCTAAAAAAAAAAAAAAAATAATTCAAAGTAGCTTCTTCCAGCCTCAGAGAAAGCACATGGTCCAAGATTTAGTTTGTCAGTGAAAGTTGTCACTAGAAGCCTTGCCCACCATTTCTTGTGAAATATATTATGCTTTTCTGTGGTTCGGTATTTTCAAAAGCGTTTTAAAGGATATTAGACATAAAGCCAACTTGAAGTGTGCTTATGTTTTTGTGCATATATACATATGTTTAAGTATATATAGTGACAGCAAAATCTTTTTCACCCTTCTCCTGGGAGGTAAGACTGGTATGTGTGCCCTGGGTAGCCTATTCCACTTAAGTGTCAAAATAATGGTATTTCTACAAGTGAGTGCTGCCTGCCTTGGCTGAGAAACAGATCCTCAGGATGTGGGCAGTTGTACATGGTCACATCCCATGTCATCCTAGGAAACCTATCAGCAAAACCTGCTTTTTTTTCCTTGCTTTTTTTAAAGCATGACACTTGATGTGTTTTGTTTGTTTTTTTTTATTTGAAACTTATGAGCATGAAACTCCAACTTGCAAGCAGATAACATGGCCTGTATTTGTAAGATTGATGTTTTCCCCTTAGAATTTCTGCAAAATCCCAGGAATATAAACTTCATTCTTTCCTGACCTCTGTTTGACTCTCATTACGCATACTTTAAAAGCTGAGGACGCTTTCATGTGCTCAGTTAAGCAAGGTCAGAGAGAGAGCACTGGATTCTTCTTCTTATTACTTTGTACTGCAAGTCATAGTTCAGAGAAATATAGAGTTCAGTGTTACCTAACATGTAATTTTTACCCTTTTCCTTTCTACAAACCAGAGGTAAACCTAAAAGCCTTTCTGGTGGGGATCATTGCTGGGACAGATCATCTGCTAGGCGTGTATGACAAACAGAAATATGGTTTTACTGATTCTTGATTATTTCATTTATTTTGCCGTAATACAAGCTCAATTTGGTACAAATGGACTCAGTCGTACTTTGAGGAAAGGACCACAGAAGCCTAAATTATCAATTTTAGGGCTTCCTGCAAGATGACTTTTAATAAAACTTCCTCTTACAAGCTATGGCTTTTGTTGCTGTATCTGGGCACCTTGCTGGTGGAGTTTTCTATCCTCTGATGGTGTGGGAGGTAGGTGGCAATATTAATTGATGGAGCAGGGAACTCAATTCTCACCATGTAAATTAAGGCTCTGGCTCATTCTCTGGTTCTGCTCCTCCTCTAACCACATGGCAACTTCAAAATTCCACAGGCTCTCAAGCAAGAACTAGGAGAAAAAAGAAGTCTTTGGACCCAGAAGCTCCAGCTTTTGGAAAAATGCAATGAGTCCTTAGACAAGGATTTTATTCGAGTAGCAGGCAACCTGAGGAGAACCAAGACAGAACTACTTCATCTAAGGAAAGAGCTCTCTGCTAGGTACCCCTTCAATGCCTGTGTGGTTTTTTGGGGGGGAGTTGAGTTTTGGTTTAGGTTTGTTTTTGGGGTTTTGCTTGTTTGTTTTGATTTGGTGTTGTTTTGGTTTGGGTTTTTTCTTTCCAGTTGCTTAGCTGTTAAGTATTTTATTTTGGGGTGGGTTTTTTTTTGTGGCACAAAGTCTACTGAATTCTCAAGAATTTTTATTCACATAGGAAATTATCTCTTTTGGAGAGTGGATCTGGTTTTAGCACAAGGTCTTACACTGTGTGGGAGTTCAGGTTTGTGTCTGGACTGATGTACAGTCTTGGAGGTGTCTTTGAAAACACCAGGGAGACCACAGACAGAGAAGTTAAAGCACGAGGGCTCTGCCTACCAAGCAGGTGCAGCCATTAAAAAAACAGCTGGGTTTGTGTGAAGCAAGAGAGCTCTTAGATATCTGTCTGCAGGTATTTTTGCTTTGGGATACAGTTGCAAGGCTCAGGGAAGATGTCTCAGTTTCCCAAGGGTGTAGCTTTAATGTGTTGTCATTAAATATGGAAATGTGACTTTTTTGACATATGGCTTCTTCTGTGAGTTGTGTCCTAGAAATAGGATCATAAAATGGCCTGGGCTAGAAAGGATCTCAAAGATCATCCAGTTCCAAGCCCCTGCCGTGGGCAGGGACACTTTCCACTAGACCAGGTTGCTCCAAGCCTCGTCCCTGAATTTGGGATGTCCCTAGGGCTTGGCAGCCCTGAGAGCTGATGCAGAGCAGTTGTACCACACTTTGGCCTGACTTACCTTCCACTGAACCACCTCTTACATGCTCTCCCTCCACCTGGAAAAGAGGTGATAAAAATACTGATGGCTTGGTTTCTTAAAGCTGTCTCTGTGTCAAAATTGTTTGTGATTAAAGCAACCCAAAAAAAAAAGTTGAAGTGAGTTAGAGAGGAAATGGGCAAAGGTTTCTTTAGTGGAAGAGTTTCATTGAAAGCCATCCTCTTTTAGCTGATGGCATCTGCTTGCTGTCAAGTGAAATTCCTGCTCAAACACAAAGAAATCAATCCAAAGAAGCAGTAATAGCTCTGGGGTATCTTTTTCTAGAATGACTGACTCCACTTGGTTGATATCCTACCGCTATTCTCCCAAACCCTGAGGAAACACATTCTGTTGTCCAAATGGCAAAAGCTTGCTCCACTGAGCTCTTGCTCCTTGATGGTGATTCCCTATGGTACCCAGAAACATCACAGGAAGCCTTCATCCCTTTCCTGCTGCTGCAAAAAAAGTGTGATTCCCTGGCTGCTGGATCCTGGGGAGCTGCAGTGTGAAACAGCTGACTTTTGGTGCATGTCCCAGCAGCCAGAGCGTGTCACCTCCTGGGCCAGACCGCTCCAGAATGTCACCTATGAGCTGTGGTTTTGCTCTCTTGCCCCACAGACAATGCGAGATAGAAACTGCTAAACAGCTACAGGAAGAAACTGCTGGCCAGGCAGAAATCCTACGTTTAGAGCTGCAAAAAGCCACCAAGCAACTGGAGGATGCCAGCAAGCATGTAAGAGGCAGCCCAGTTCCCTCTGTGCAGGGAACCAGGAGATGCCCAGGGCTGTGTCCAATGCATGGCTGCCCTTGGGGAAGGGAGACGTGTTCAGAATGGTGTGCCTCCCTGCAAAAGTGGAACCAGCAGAGGAAGTAAAATTTGAGGGGGTGGTGACAACAGTTTGCTGATGAAAGAGGCAGCATCGCATATTTGTGGTGGCTTAAAAAAAAAGAGAAAAAAAAAAGGGCCCAAAAATAGCTTCCATACACAGTCCACCCCAACGTAAAAATGCAGAAGTTCAGAGGGAGCTTTATCACTTCCTGAGAAAGAACAGATGCAGCTTGGTTTCATTTGCATGAACTGTAAAGGCTCCTTGTGCTAGCCAGGCTGCTTTATTTTATTTTTATTTTTTTTATTCCTTTCTTTTTTCCCTAAATATTGTTTTGTGCTTAGGCAGAGGATCAAGTTGAAGCATTTCACTCTGCTTGTGAGGAAGCAGCATCCTTGAAGAGCAAGTTGGAGGAAGCCATTTCTGAGCAGCAGAATCTCAGGGATGTGATTGCAGCTTTAGCAAGTACTTGCCAGTTGCTTCAGAAGAAGGTGGAAGACCACAAAAGTGAGTAACTTTTGGCAATGTGCCAGCATTCATGTTTTGCATGGGCAAGTACTTTAGGATTTGGTTACATCAAGGGAAGAAAGGGTTGATCTGCAGGTCATCCAGTAAAATGCTCTGTGGATCCTTGCTTGCTGTTTTGGGGTTTTTCTCCCTTTTTTTTTTCCTTCTGCTTGAAGAGATCTGCCACCATCTGAACTGAGCAGCAGGTGGGATCCCAAGGAGTGGGTGTTGGGATCCATCAAAGCTTCAGAAGCTCTTAACAAAACCCCCAGTCCTAGGAGGGGGGATTAGAACTCCACATGTGGCACAGGTACTCCTTTACCAAAAGTGCTATTCCCCACCTTATCCCAAACAAAGCCATGCCTCTTTCTTAAGCTTCCTGAAGTATGTAGGCTTGATTTTTGTACGTTCTATGTTCTGTTTGCTGCTTGTATTTGCTCTGTTTTTGAATATCTGTGTGGTGTTAGGCTGCTCTCTTTTAGTGGAAAGCAATACTGTCACTGCCTTCTACACATGCAACTTCTGCCACAGAGCCATGGAAACTTCTTATTGCCTCTTTCTCGCTCACTTCCTGACATCAGCACCTCAATAACCTGGGCAGTTAAATTATGCTGAGGTCTGAGTCCAGAACATGTGGCTTTTTCTTTCCTAGCCCTGGAGTCTGATCCCTTTCTTAAGAAGGATTTGACTGATCTAAGCCCTCTGAGTGTTTTGGCCTCAGCAATGCACTTACTATATGTGCTCAACATCTATGTGTGCATTGCAAACAACTCCATGTGAAACCACTGTTTATCTTGCAGGAGAAATTCCCTGTGACCCTTGGCTTTAGCTCTAAGGCACAGCTTTGCACTGATATGGCAGAAACAGCCCCAAAATGTGCTTGGCCCCCTCTGACCAGTGTTTTGGTGTTGTCAGTGTGTGTGCTCATGTTGCTTTCCCTCAAACTGTGGAGCTGCTTTATTTTGCTCTTAGCAAGAGGCATGACAGTGGAAATAGTTTGTCACTTTCCACCTCTGAATAGATGGAATTCTTCTGTAAAGTGAGCTTGAGTAGATCAAGAGAGAGAACCCCAGATATGTGAGATTGATTTGGTGCCACTGTGACAAAATAACAAACCAAAAACCAGCCTCCCCCACCACCCTGAAAATGACTAAGACCTTGGCTTTAAATTACTCCAGTTACTTTGCAGAAATATTTTTGTAGATAAATTAACTGGCATATGTGTAGAGAAGTTGCAAAGCATTGTGAAGAACAGGGCTGACAAATAAGGCTGGCACTGAAGGAAAGATGAATAAAAATGCTTTATATTGGTTCCTGCAAAAAGCCAGACAGGTCTGGTGCCTCTTCTGACTGAAGGGCTGGGCTGTGGTCTCCTCCCCACATACCCATTCCAATCCCCTACTTCTTCCCACCTACATAGTAAGAGGGAAAATGCTTCTAAATACAAAGCCCATGGACTTTACAACTTCTGTACAGGATGTCAGGTGGAAAGGCCAAATGCTTCTCTTCCCCTAAGCCATGAGGGATCTATTTCCACAGGGAACTGTGGCATCCCTAACACTAATGATATGGGGAAGCATTGCCTGTGATTTGCAGGTGAAGATGTCCAGTGTTTCCTCTTCCCTGTGAAAAAAATTTTTGCAGGCTTAACCAGACTAACGCAAACTGCAATAAATTCTGATAAGGAGTAGTTAGAGATACTGTAAAATGGACTGCTTATCAAGTTTTAAGGAACCCTGTTAGACTTGTAAATGTCTCTTCATAGCAACTGCTAATGCCCTGAGATGGGAACTGCTGCAGAGGCGACTCTGTGAATTGCTGTGCCAGGTATGGTGCCCTTTGCTGGGAGCAGGAAAGGTGGGCTTGCACAGGAGGGGCTCTGGTGGAAGGACAACACAGCTGAGACCATCTGCAAACAATTTGGCAGCACCTGGTGTCTTCTTTTCTAGCATGTACAGAAGCTGTAGGTACAAATCTGCACATTTTCCTTACTCAGCCTTCTGGGGAAAAATGTGTCAGGACTTGCAGGAGTGGTGTTGGTCTTCAGTGTGAGCAATTCTTGATTGTATTAAAAGGGGCTGAAGGAAACCTTCCCTGATGCATTGGTGTGATTTTTGTCCCACAGCCAGCCCTTACTTCTGCAGACAGGCTTGGAAAAAAAACAACAAAACGTTTAAAATCTCATAATGGAAGATGTTTTCAGGATCCAGACCCTGGAATAGGCAGTGAAACAGTTACTAACTTTGTGGCCCTCTGTGGAGAAATACATTGGAAATTACATAACTCTGGGGTGCTTTGCTTTGAATAAAATTACTTGCTTCAACTTTGGGAGGGGGTGGAGGGGGAAACATTGTGGAGGGACTTTTTTCCCAGCTGGCTCTAGTAAGGAATGCTATAGCTCAGGATCCAAGCACTCTGGATTTAACACAGACCAACAAGGTATTTAACAGCAAACAGAAGGTCCTGAATTGTCTCCTAGGCTGTGACAGGGATATCAGAGGAGCAGAGTCAAAACTGGGCCAGCTGCACATGAATAAAACTTACATTTGTATATGAGAGTCTGCAGAATTAAGGCTGGAAGTAGCAATAGGAAATAACTGTGGAGTTTTGCAGTTGCAGTTTTGCAACTCATAGCTTAAAGTAGTTCAGTTTGAAAGATGAAGTTGCATTTTGCTCAGAATCAGTAGCAGTGCTCCTTCTCCTTTTATCTCTTTTTTTTTTTTCCCTTCCCTGCCTGCCTTGAACTCTCTCTCTATTACAACAGTGCTGTGCGGAGTTAAATTCTGACTATGCTTTGCTGCCCACATCAGCTGAACATGTAGAAGGGAAGGTAAGTGTGCTTGCTGTGATCATTGCTGAGTCTGTTAAAATGGGATGTTGGGTATTTTTGGGTGGGGGTTATTTTCTTCATCACTACAGGGAAATAAATAACTTGATTTGTGAGAAACTTTGCTAAGTTAAACACTCACTAAAAATACTTTGAGATCAGTGTCTGTGTGAATGTGCATGCAGGTGTTTACATGCATACAAAAGGATATTCCAAACCTTATGGCAAAGCCAGGTTCCCACTGCCTCTGAAGCACAACACAGATGTGATAAATTCCTTTTAGAGAAGCATCAGAGTCTGAAGATGGTACTTCTTCCAATTTCTTTTCAATTTTTCATTGTTTAAGCAACATTAGGTCAAATACAACTGCATACATGTTGCTTCAGAAGTTTTCTCAAATGCTGTCTTCAGATGACTCCCCTTGGCGAGGAGTTTGGATTTTTTTTTTTTATTTAAACCCCTTTCACAGGGTTTGAGTGGCTTCTTTGGTTCTCCTCTCAGGCTCATCTTGCATGGTTTTGTATGATTTATTTCCAGACCTAGCTTGAACAAACATATTTTGTTGCAGGTGTAATTATCCTGCCTCTTCCTGTAACTGTTCTGCCCATTAAAGATATGATCTCTTCGAGACAAAAAAGCCACAGAAGATGTGTTTGTGTAACTGTTGGTGTTATATTATGCAGATGCCTGGGGAGAGGGGGAGTTGGTGGCATTAATGTATTCAGTGTGGTGGAACAACAGCACTTGTTATTTTTTCAATTAGCAGCTCCATTGCTCCAAACGACCATGGAGTGAAAGACCCACCTTGTACTCTGGCTTTCCCTGGGCGCTGCCCTTGGGTGTTTCACACTGGCACAGCTCCCCTCTGCTAGGTAAGACCTGGTAGTGTGTTGGGCGTTTCTGTCATTCACCTGAAATACAGATGGAGTTGACAGGACAGTCCCAATAGTGCTGAGTGTGCTGCTAGAGTGTGGAAAATGTTGTGGGCTTTAACCTATTTCTGCATGTAATCCAGGAATCTGAACCATGATTAGTGTTTGAAGTGAAAGGCAAGGTGACAGACAGTTCCCAAGATCTTAAGGAGCTATTGGTATAAATAATACATCCAAGTATATTCCTGACAGGGTGCTTGTCAGTCTGGATCCAGAGGGCATGAGTTCTGTTCTTCCCATTCCCTCTGAGGGAATGTGCCTCTCGGGCACACCCTGAGATGTCCTGCTCCTTGGCTGCTGAGCTGTGGGCAGTTCTGGTTTAACAACTTAAACAGTAACAGAGCTACTGAGAATAAAATCATAGAGTAAGAGGATGGTTTGGGTTGGAAGGGACCTTAAAGATCAGCTAATTTCATTCCCCTGCCATGGGCAGGGACACCTGTCACTGTCCCAGGTTGCTCCAAGCCCTGTCCAGCCTGGCCTTGGACACTGCCAGGGATGGGACAGCCACAGCTGCTCTGGGCAACCTGTGCCAGTGTCCAGTCAGCCTGCTCTTCTCCAGGCTGAACTGCCCCACCTTTTCCAACAGATTGTATTTGTTGCTTTTTTTCCTGAGTTGCTGGAACTTCCCTGCATCTCTCAAGCCTTACGAGGACTAAAAGCAGCCACTGACAGCTGTGCACTGCAGAGCTGCAGGGTGCTGCTGCATTTGGGATTTCACACACAAGCATTTCTCCCAGCAGTGAGCTGGTCCCACACAGAGGCTCTTCTCACACAGACTACAACCGTTCAAGTGTAATTCCAGGCCATATAGATGTGGATGGAAGCAAATCTTTCCTTGCTGCATGTGCTCTTCATCAGAGCATTCTGCTACTCTGAGAGGGTTTCAGTCTGACAAACTCTCCATCTACAGAACAAATTGAGGCCACACAACCAAACCCTTTCCTACCAAGACAGAAGCTGGCTTATTTAAAATTTCTGCTTGGTCGGTCTACTTCTTGATTATTTTAGAGTTAGCCAAAAAAAATTGACTTGTAACTAAATCCAGCTTTGCCAAGGACCACCTCTCTTCATGCTTGTCATTCTTAACAGATGCTCTGACCTTGGAGACCTCCTGCCCAAATAATCCTCCTGGGAATAGCTGGGACCGGCCTTGCAGGCAGAGCTCTGGCAGCTGCACCTTGGAGAGGTGTGATGTGGGACATGTGTCCAGCTCAGATGTGACAGCAGGAGAATGCTGGTAAGGTGGCAGAATAGCCTTTCTGGGGTGGAGGGGGGAGGAGTCAACAGGGTCTATCAGATTCCATGTGCTGGGTTCAGCTGCAGGAGCCTCCCTTAGAGGGTTTACTGAACACCTGCTGATCAGCTCATGGTGTTCCAGGGCAACGCTTTGCTTCTGTTCACAGCTACTAAAACGCGTTAGTGGAGCTGCTTGCAGACAGCTAAAATGCATTTATGGGGTTTCTATTTCATACTATGAGACATGAATTAGGCATTCTTCTCTAATTTCCGTGTTTAACTTACAATTGGCATTCCCAATAAATGCCAAAATCCTATTGATTTTGAGGAGTGACTTTTGTTTTTTGCAGAGCTTAGAGCAGGAATTCTGAGGTCCTTGCCTATCAAGCTGCCTCCTTAGGTCTTTAAAACAGACATTAAACTTCTTGAGATTAGGAAAGTTGGAGTGAACTGTGGTGAATATTTCAAAAGCTAAGGATATTCCTGAAGGTGCAAAAGCAGGCAGTCTGCAGCAAGAGACTCAGCAGCTCTCGAAGCTTTTTGCCACTGGTTTTCTGTAGAATTGTGTAGTGTGGAGGAGGTTGGGAAAAGGACTGATGGTGGTTCTGGCTGTTCGGGGGAGGAGGGATTGAAGTTGGTGATGAATTTTGTCTTTCCCTGAGAGACCAGCTGACTGACTGCACAGAGAGTGATGACTTCAGTTGTTATGTGCTTAAGGAAAATGGGCGCTCTCTCTCTCTGTGGTTTGGGCAATATGCAAATAAAGCCTGTGTTGCCAGGTGGAAAATATGCTCTGCTGATGACTACACTGATGCAGACCTTCCTGTTTCCATTACAATGATGGACTCTTCACTTGCCGAGGTGAGTGCTGGCTCTGATGCCTGAGATGTGGTTTTGAACAGGCTCAAGCATTTCGTGCCTTGCTCAGACCCAGGTCCAGATGGCTCAGCTATAAATCAGCACTGCTCCACAGTGGATGGAGCTGGCATCAGCTGGCAGGGTGCTGGTGGGGGGGGGGATGGTGTTCCCTTCTGTTTGGACATGTTTCTGCAATACCTTGGTTATAAAACTAAATGTCTTGATGTCATGTGCAACTGGGTCATGCTTTTAGCTGTGGAGTGTTATAAATGGGGTTTCAAGGCTGGAGACAGTGCTGGTTTTGCAGTAACAGTTGGCTCTGCTGTGGAAGAATTGAGTGTTTTTGCTCTCTTTCTCCACCTGCAAGGAGCCACAGAATGCTTCATTTGAGTGTACTGCCGTGCTTTGCACTTTCTACCGCAGGCACTATGTAACAACTGAAAAATGCCATCTTTGCTGTAGGGGAGCTTTCCTTCAGCTGGTATACTCACCTATGCCTTCACTGCTGCCCTGAGTCCTGCACCTACAGATTGAGCTGCAGTTTTCTCATGGCAACAGCAAGAGAAACTGCAGCTCAGCACACCTAAACTGTGCCTCAGTCCTCACTATTGAAATCTAGACCTCAGCTACACCACACAGGGCTTATAATGAGCTCTACAAACTCCAGTGTTGGTGGGGATGGTGGAAGAGTACTGGTCAGTGGCTTCTGTGAACTTTTGGGACTAAAGAGCAGCCAGCCTCAGGGTGAGGGTGTGTGGTATCTGTGAGTACAGCATGGTCTGGTTGTAGTGGTAAATCAAAGCAGAAAGTGCAGTGAGGGTAGAAAGTAATAGTGCTGGGCACTCTGTGTTGTTTCAGCACACTGGGGTAGAGCAGGTGAACTCCCAGCTTGTGCTGCTCCTACTAATTGCCCTTAAAAGAGGATCCCCTTGAGGGTTCCTACTTTATCCAGTCCTTCTGGAAAGTCACAGCTGTGCAAAGGTGTGTGAAACATCTGTGCTTTCTTGGGCTTTCCTGTAATTCCAGCTGGGCTCAAAAATGTCATTTTCCATTCTTGCTATCACTTTTTAGTATAAGCTTTGCACATGCATGTTCTGAAGGGGGAAAATGAAAATGTTAAGGCTTGCTCCAGAGAAAAGGCAAATGGGCTGTGTCCAGTATCTGTTCTAAACACTGGCATGTAGGAAAATTTGAATATCCTTGTTCAGTAGAAAAGGTCTCCCTAGTTTTCTTTGGAGTTGCAGATGTATTTGAGCAGGTCAGCATGTCAGTAACTCAAGTTATTTGTGTCAAATCATTGTCACCATAGAAGTTCAGGGGCTACTTAATAAAGGAGCACTTGTGAGAGCCAAATGAAGCTTGGGCTTTTTGCTCTTTTTTGGATTTATAAACGTGGAAGTCATACTACAGTCTGAAAACCAGACAAGTCTTTCAAATGTTAATCATAGTTTGGGAGGAGTTAGATTAGACCGTGTCCAGAATTTGTGGGCTGAGATGGAGAGCCCTTGCATTAGTATGCTAATCAGTGGGATGGAGGTGGGAAAAGTGACTAGGGATGTGCTTCAGGATCCTCTTTGGCTGTTCTTCCTCTTAAAAGGACTGTGCCATTCTCTAATGCCTTGTGCAAACAGATTTTACTATGAGGGTGCTGAGGCCCTGGCACAGGTTGCCCAGAGAAGCTGCAGCTGCCCCATCCCTGGCAGTGTCCAAGGCCAGGCTGGGATGTTGCCTGAGCAACCTGGGATAAAGGCAGGCATCCCTTCCACTGGTTGGTTGGAACTTTGATCTTTAAAGTCCCTTCCAATGCAAACCACTATGTGATTTTATTTTATTACGAAATCTAGAATGTGGTGTTTCTCTTTTATTGGCTTTTTTTTCCCCTTTATGTGGAATCCATGGGAGTGTATAATCCTGGTAGCCAGCTTAGGGTTTTTAAAAACTGAATTGAGGGTTTTCCTTCATTGCAAACAGAAATCACAGACCATGTGCCCATCTGGGCAGGGACAGATCATGTAGCATAATGTATAATTTCAGTCAGTTCTAGGTGATGTGAGGGCTTTTCTGTTTTCTTGGATGCTGTGTGTTAGTTTTAAAAGCCCTTAAGATTTCTTTTCTTTCCAACATGATATTATTCTCCCTCCCCAGTACTCCTGGTTCAGACCCAATGGCTTGGACAAGGCAAACGCATTGCTGCACTTCCTCAAGCTTATGTCAGAATTCAAATAATAATAATAAAAATAGTCTGAATTTGCATTAGAGGAAGCATCCACCTGGCTGGGGCAGGGCTGTGCAAGAGCAGCCCAGCTCCAACCAGTGCAGGGAGGAGGGAAAAGGCTCTTCCTGACACTGGGAGCAGTTGGTCACTCTTGGAAGTAACAAAGGCCCTTGAATACCTCCTGTTCTCATTTGCTGGGTTTCCTGTGTCCTCTGAGGGCATTTGAGGGGGTAGGAAAGATACCAGAATACTGGCAATTGCTTGCTGATGTGGTTTTTCTGTTGTTTCTCCATAAACACTTCAACAGTGCTCTTGGGTGCTTGCTGTATAGGGAGCTGTCTGGCTTCATTCCTCCTCTGCTTGGAGAGAAGAGCAGCTTTGGGCTGTTTTTATTTTCTATTCAGCACTTTTCTTCAACAGTGGTTGTAATTCAGCACAAGTCATTACCAACTTAACCCTTCTAACCTCATCAGTATTATAGTATATAACCCTGTCCTTTCATCCATAAAGACAGACCAACCTAACAACTGAATGAGTGAGCTGGAGCTTTCCAGGGTGAAATGAGGAAGAGGGATGTTGCACATATAGTACCTCCCTAGAAATTAAAAACCTCAAGAGGATATTGGTTTTGTCTGTGATGTGATAAGACTCAGGTCCAAAACCGCACTGTGGCAGCTAGAGGAACATGAGCAAAACTGCTAGCTTTTAATTGCTTTGTTCCTCTGCAGTTTGTACACCAGCAAGGCTTGAGGCCTCTGAAGGGGCTGGTTAATTGTTATATGTAATATTGTAAAACTGGATCCCTTCAAAGGCAGTCAGTAAGATGTACAACACAGCACACTGGTTTTCTGTGTTCTGAACCACCTGCTTGCTCATGCTGTGCCTATTAACACTTCCATTTACCCAATGAGTCTGATCCCTACCGCCAAGTGAAGCTCTGTGCACCTCATTTGTAGGTTTTGAGCTTCAGACCTTGAAAATGGATCTCTCCTGATGCAGAGTTAAGATGGAACAATGGTGGTGTACTAACATGTTTGTTGGTCACTGAAAATATGCATTAGGAACAAACCATGGAGTCAGGAACCAAAACACATATTTGAATATGACATTCCTGGTGAGGCTTTAGACTAGTGCAGTTACCAGCCAGTTCTTCACTGCTGGAGTGGTTTAGGCACAGCTGGGAAAGTTATAGTTTTGACATGTAAGTTTTACTCTGGAAGTTATCTCTCTGATACTCTTTTTTTCTCTCTCTGAAGATTGACTGTGGGGAGTCAACACCACGAGCCACTCTGATCCCATCCAGGTCAGATCTTGTGAAAGATTTAAAAGCCTTTATCAAGACCTGTATCATGTAGATGAGTATCTGAAAGGGTTTTGTTTTGGCAGCGATCACTTAACATCAGCCCAAGAAGCTTTTGCATCTGAGGCAAGCACAGCACCAGTACCAGGTGAGTCCTTAATTTGGGGCACTGCATATGCTCAAGTCTGTGTTTACTGAGCAATAAAAGCTTTGTTAGCTGCTGTTTGATGTTCTAGCCTGCCTTGCTATGGAGGAACGATCATCCAAAGCCTTACATGAGAGAGGGGAAGATTCTTCTGTGGCAAAGGAGACAAATGGCAATAAGGGCCCAGCTGCTCCTGTGTCAGGTACAGTGGCTGCTGCACTGCCTGGCACTCACACACTGAGGAAATTGCTTCCAGCACATGTTTGAAGTGAGGAAGCTGAGTAAGAGCAACAACATGAGAATTTCTATTTTTGACAGTATTTTCACACTCTCCCCCCCCTCCCCCCCCCATCCAGTGCTCTCAAACCCCTCTGAAGCTGAGTAAGAATAAAATTTTTTAACCACCTTACCACAGCACTGCAGGCAGGGAGCATGAAACAGCTCCGTGAGATCTTGGGGCTTGCTCAGCTGGCAAAACACTGAGTGGGTACAAAATCCCAGACAATTTTTGACAACAGAAAACATGTTTTTATGGGTATTTACAGTTATTTAGTTTGACAGTGCCACTAAACACTTCCTTCTCTTTCAAGGCTGTTGTGCAAGAAGCTGGGATAGGTCAAGAGGAGACATGGGGATAGGGGCATTTGTGTATTGTTTGGTCTTTGCTAGAGCCATAAACAGCCACCAGATCTGATGATTTTCTTCTACTGAAAAACTATAAAACCAAACCAAAACTGGAGCAAGTGTACACACTGTACTTAAGTGGTTTTTGTAAAGCTGATCTGAGTAAGCAGCACAGAATACCTGTGTGTGCTTGTTTGTAATTTTTTTTTTAAATCTTTACCTCCATATAAGGTTATAGTTTCTTGTTTGGTTTTGTTTCTGTCCTCCATACTATCTTCCTGAAATTGTGCCCCTTCATTTAAAAGCATTTTCTTTCTACTAATTTCTCCTCTACTGTTAATTTTCATATGTGGTCCAGGTGCCTTTGGCTAAGAGGAAGCAGATACACAGAACAAATTTTAAAAAGTCCAAATAGCTTTAAAGTCTGCGAATACATCTGCCTGATGCACATCTCTGCAAGGAAAGTGTTTCCTAAAATTAGAACTTATAAATTTCCCTTTGCAGGCTTCAAACCTGAAGCTGGAGTTTTTCTGGAGTTTTGTTTTCTTTTTTTGTTTTTCCCTGTGCCATTTCTTTGGGACACAGATGTGTGTGACTGCATAAACAGAGGAGAAAAGAAAATATTATAGATGTTCTTAAAGGTATAAATATTAATTAAAAGCTGCCTTTTTAAACAGCAAGCATAACAAAAAAAGTATCTATGCTGGTAGCAAAATAATAAAATTTATTTATCTAAGGGAATATTACTATGACTTTCATCTTCAACTACAGGAAGTACATTATATTCTCAGCTGCAGATATATAACATTTCTTATGGGGATTTTTTCCAGTCATAGTTATAATCACATTTCTTCCTGTGTGTCTTTATAGTGTTCTTTGCTGCCTCCTCTTTTTCTCAGTGATCTTTCATGGTATTTGATGTGCTCTTTTTAGTCCAGTTGGCCCATGGCTAAAATGGCGGGTGTTGGAAGCTTGGTGTGTTTTGTTACCTTTGGATTTGGGAATGTTTCTCCACAGGACCGAGTCAGATCAAGAAGGAATCCTGCCTGGTGATGGAAGAACACAAGCCTGTGCTTCAAAATGTTTTGAAGCAAGACCCGGTAAGAGTGCTGGCGACAGTGACAAGCCCAGCTGGTTTGGCTGAGCAGTGACAAAGGAGGAGACAGACTCCTCCAGGGGGGTGGTGTGGCTGCTCCCTTCCTGTAACTGCTCTGATGTGCCTTTAGGAGGTGGACCAGGAAAAGAAAAATAATAAAGAGAGGAGTGAGGAAGCACCAGCTGTGGTTCCAGGCAGGAAAGGTAAGGGGGTTTTGCTGAACACCTTCATATTACTGAAGCACAAGCTGAAACCAGAGCTGTGTCAAGAGGTGCAAGGAGCTGCCTGTCCCACACCAAGCATGATCAGAGGCTTTCATTTTAGGGTTTGGTACCTGCAGCTGGAGATCAAAATGAAGAGGAGTCGTGTCATGCAAAATCTGCAGCTCTGACTTCTGCATATAATGATCTAACCAGCTCCACATTCCTCTAGACAGGAGGAACGTTGTTAGCTGCAAAGGAGTTGGGATGTTTGAAAGAGTTCTGGCACTCCTGCTCTCCCCAAAGATTTGTAAAAGAAGCATCTCTGTGCTATCCATGATATAGGGGGAGCAGGATGTTGTTTCTCCTTAGACTTCTCTGCTTTTCAAATTGCCTCCTCTTTTGCCTTTGGAAATCACTAAAAGCTGGTGAGGTAGTGAATCATATAACATCCTGAAGCCCAAACCTGCAGTTAACCATTTCTTGCTAATAAGGTGCCAGCTGAAGTTCCCTGAGCAACTGACTTTTGGGGCTTTGTACAAGTGGCAGTGCCGTGGTGCCTCACAATGAATAGAACCTGATGCATATGAGTTATTTTCAGTGGCAAGAGCTTAACACTGGAAAACAGGGGCATCTGTAGAAACTTGGAAGACTCTCACAAGTTGTTTTGGGGAGGCTGTTTTTGCACTTTGGTCTGAAAATGTTGGTTTTTTTGGTCTCTTCTCAGCGAGTTCACCCACTGCAGGTGGTATTAAAGGAGATAAAACCAAGCAAAATGAGCTGTAAGTATTTTGACTTTCAGTGATTACCTGCAGGTATGAATTTAAAGTCAGTCTGTTCCATGGTTCTTTTTCTTCTCCTACAGTGACTCCCCAAATGAGAAGGAAGTGGAGGTAAGTCACTTCAGGATATAAGCAGTTGCATTTCAGATAACAGATATTGTAGATAAACCCTGATTAATATCTCCTCCTACACAGAAGAATGATCCAGCTTAAACTGGATGTATTTCTGTAGGCTAGTTCTGAAATCTTTTTCCAAGCCTAATGGAAATTTTTTTCAAGAGATGGGATGGAGAAAGGTGGAAATCTGTAAAACTGAACAAAGACTTGTCACTACTGTGACACTTGTTTGCAAGCTTGAAGGAGCATAGCTGTAACCTCCTCCCAGGCAGAATGTGCGGATTTAAAACAGTTTTGTCAAAAGGCACAGATGGCACAGTGTGCTGCCAGGATGTCACCTCTTTTGGCTGCAGAACATTCCTACGTCCTCCATCACTACAGATGGGAAGACCTGCTTAAAGGAAGTGGGTCATGTTCACTTATTCTTCTGTATCTCTCCTAAACTTTGGTCACAGGGTATAGTCCCAAACGTCATGTCAGTGTCCAAATCTCCTTAAATTTCTGCATCACTTGGATTCCTCTGAAATATTTTCTCCTCCCACAACAGGCTGAATTTCTGAGGCTGTCTTTAGGTTTTAAGTGTGACTTGTTTACCTTGGACAAGAGAGTGAAGCTCGAAGAGCGGTCCCGAGACCTGGCTGAAGAAAACTTGAAAAAGGAGATCACAAATGCTGTGAAGATGTTAGAGGTCAGTATTGACTGGGGCTGGTAGAGTGGATGGGATAAGCAGATGTGAATGTCTCTTAAAACAGCTTTTTAAAGGGAGAGTGTGCATGGGATACATGGTGAGCAAATATGAATGAAGTTCTGGGGCAATGCAGTCAAAATATGAGATGACATGGGGTAATCTTGATCCAAGTGCATTGCATGCTCAGGCAGTGGGGAATTTTTCTGTTGCACAAACATCTGCCCCTTGCTTCAGCTGATTTTTTTGTTCCAGTCTCTGCCCACTTGAGCTTTCTATCCAAGTTACACTGATTGAGGGTGTTGGTGTGGGCCTGAACACAGCTCCTCAGTGTCATCAGCTCAAACCTTCATTCTTTGTTAATAATTCACACCGGTTTTCTTACCAATGTGTGCTCTTAGGCATTAGTTCCTTTGTGCGAAGAAGATAACCAAGCACAGGAGATCATTAAGAAGCTGCAGAAAAGCCTGCAGTTCCTTAGCCAATATGCAGCTCGAGTTGCCAGCAGAGCAGAGATGTTGGGGGCTATTAATCAGGTAACACTTTCCATCTAAAAGTACTTTGTACAAAGCTGAAACCTTCCAGCTGCAAAGGGATAGCCATGTCTGCTTGCTGGGCTTTAGGGACCTGGATGGGATTTGGGAATCTGGTGTGTGTAGTGTAGACTGGCCAGTACAGCTTAGTCCTGGCCTTCTCTTCTTACTGTGTTGTTATAAGGAATCCCAGGCACTGAGAGCAGTTAGAATTGTGCAAAAACCCACTGGAGAAATAATGAGGTTCTGGTTGAAAAAACCAAACTAAAAAAACTTTGCAGCAATGGGATGTACAAAATACCAAACAGGGTGGTAACAATGGCCTTGATGCTGCAAAGATGGTTCTGTGCCTTATGGAAAGATAGCTACAGCTATCAGCAAATCTATGAAAGATTACAAAGCCCTGCTCAAACGTTAGGTGTAGCTGTGTACAATACCCCAGAGCAGCATGAAAATATGACTCGGCAATACCAGCAAATGCATGGTGGCAGCTGAGACTGTACATCAGAGATGATGATGAGTTGTAAGGGCTTGCAAAACTGAAGACTGATTTATTTATTTTACAACAAGAGTGATCCCCAGAGAAATGAAACCTGTGTAGCATATGCTAGGACAGGGGTTGTAATGAAGCTTTGAAAGTGGAGGATAATAGTAGGATATACCAGAGGAGACCAGATGCTTGAGGGGGAAATATCCAAACATGAGGCAGTTCCTGAGAGCTGCTGCTTTCCCTGCTCCCTCAGGAGAGCCGGGTGAGCAAGGCTGTGGAGGTGATGATCCAGCACGTGGAGAACCTGAAGCGCATGTACGCCAAAGAACACGCGGAACTTGAGGAGCTCAAGCAGGTCCTGCTCCAGAACGAGAGGTCCTTCAGCTCCCTTGGAGACAGAGGTAGCCAGGAAAAGCCTCTTTCCCTTTGCTAGCACCTGCCAGACAGGCCCTTATAGCTGCAGAATAGTCATATAAACCCTCCACATCTTAGGTGACAGAATTATATGATTGTTTTATCCCCTCTTCTAAAAAAAAAAGGAGGGGGGGAATAGCAATTTATTAACACTATTAAAGGCAGCTCTCTGAAATTAAACTTGTGCCTAAACTGTCATGGATTTCAGGATTTGTGTGTGGGACCACTGCAAGTACACAGGGATATTCTGGCTTTCAGCAAAGTGCATGGCATGTGTTGGTGATAATCTTATTCCTTGTGAGCAGTAAATTTGGGTGCTTGTTCACAGTAGCTATTTGTAGGTAGCTGAGCTTTGGCTGCTCTCTACAGATGCACCCTGCCCTTTTCTGCATGGGAATTACAAATCCCATAAGTGCAGGGAGCCTCTATTTCCCCTTCTAAGCAGCCAGGTTTGCAGCCAGTGCTGTGCATTTGTGGCTTTGTCAGAAAAGTATTAAATTCTTCTGAAAAATAGGATGTGTTTTTTAAACACCAAAAGAGAACACCATAAAATCCTTTTAAGAACCTTTTGAATCACAGTCCTGGCTGTGAAAGACAGTCCTGTAACAGGACACTGTCTCAATAATAGAATATATTTGGTGATAATGATGGAAGCTGATGGTTGCAGAGGATAGGTAATGGGTGAAAGTTATGAACTTAATGAAATAGGAGGCTTTTTCCTGAGATCTCATTTCTGCCTTCTGAGAGTGCTTTGCTTAAACTCTGCAGAAAGTCAGACCTTAGACTGCAGATTAAACTCACTTCACTCCTATTAGCAGCAAACTCCTCCTGTAAAGCTCTGATGTTTGATCTCTTCACAGATGAATCTACAAATAAGAAGCTACCAAGTCCTTTTAACTTTAAGGTAATGGTCCTTACATGAAATTTCAAATTTAAGAGTGTGTGTGTGGTTTTCTTTGCTTTATATACTGGTGTTCTGCTACATGCTTGACTGATTGCTTTTCTGTCACAAATATGTGCTGGTGCCATGAAACATGAGAATCTACTTTTCAGACACCCCACCAACCCTCTAAGTGGTCCCCCTTAGAAGGTGGAGGTGAAATGGTTGGGCTCTCACTCACTGGTTAAGAAATATTGTTCGTGCATGGGTCCCTTGGAGTTAAAGGAGTGTTTAGGACAAAAATATGAGATGGGAGCAGTTCAAACTGAAAGTAGGAATTCCTGTGAGTGAGGTTAGGGGAATTAGTTACATTCCATTTTGGTATTTTGCTGGAAGCTGTGCAGCCAGCCTCACTCAAGTGGGCAGAAAGGATTTATTGTGGAAAGGTGCTATTTCAAAACTGATTTGATCTGCACTTGAGATTGGATCCTTTGTGTGTTACTTCAAGCTATGTCTCAACATCTTTTTTTTAATATAGTTTGTGTAAAGCAGATAGTATTTTGTGTGCTCAGGGGGTAACACAGCTGTGCCTTTCTAAGAGCCAGTAATGCCTCTCATTTGTATAGCCCTCATCAGCCCTGCGGAGAGTTAGCATTGCAACAGTGCCCAGGAGTGCTGGGAATGCAGGGATTGGGGTGCCACTGGTAAGTAGGGGCTGCTGGAGAGATGTTGAGGTGTTTCACCTCCCCAAAACTGGCTGGGTTTCTGCATCAGAATGCCAGTGCAGTAAATGCGGCAAATTTCTCCTCCAGGCCCAGTTCCATGAATCCGATGGGGATGAACGAAGTGACAGGTTCAGCAGGAGATCAAGCAGTTGGTAAAGTCACCTGGGCTTGTCTTTGAATGGGGGAATACTTGTTGACTCTGTGCCTGTAGTAAGAAAGTATGAAACATCTTGGGGTATAATAATGTTTAGGCAACACCTTTTGCGTTAGTTTTATGTGCTATAATAGGCAAATGAGCCTTATGAGCTCACCTTTTTTACTTACTGAGCATTGATAGCTTTAAAAAAAATCCTTCAACTTTCTTGCTTTAGAACTAAAATGTGAAATCTAAATATCTACAGTGGATGGATCTGCAGTTTTGTTTGGTTTCATTTGGGGTTTTTTTTTTAAAAAGATCCTAATTTCAAGCAATTAAATTTGTGGTTTATTTGTCTGAGGTCAACCAAATGACTAGGCTGCTGCTAAATTTGATTTCCTGCTCTTTATCTGCTGGGAAAAATCAGACAAATTCGTTTAACACATGGCAGGGGCAGGCTAGGGGTGAAGCAGAACGAGAAGCGTCCTTCACTGCAGAGGTTCCTCAGCACCTATTCCTGGGCAGAGTATGAAGAGGAGCATTTTGAAACCAAGTAAGTTCAGCAGAAGCCTCCTCCCAGGTGTGCTGGTTTGCTTTTTAAAGAGCTTTTAATTCATCACCTGGGCTATAAAGCCAAGCTTTTGTGAATTTAGTAAGGCTTCGGAACTGTTGATTCTTGTTTACAGAAATGAGCAGTTGGAGTCACCTGCTGAAGTACAGGGACAACTAACTAGGAAGGAAAGTGTCTCTGAAAAAGGAAAATACCCACCCAAATGGACCCTGGAGTCAATGTAAGTTTATTTCACTGGTTAAAGCCATGTTTGGGAGGTGCACATGGGAAGAGGTACCAAACAAAAGTTGAGGACTTTCAGTGCTTTCTGTAAGCAAGAGTTCTTGCTGCTCTTGCAAGGCAGCTTTTGTGAATCAGTTCAGAAGCAGTGTGAGGTACAGGAAGTTCAGGTCAGCTTATCAAGAATTTGCTTCCTTGACTGTGTTTTAAACCCAGAACCAAAGTTCCCCCTGCACAGCTCCCAAGACAGTAACAACCTGTCACTTTTGATGTTCATGGGATCTAGTTTGCTGTAGGGCTTTTGGGGGTGGGACGGGATGAGTTTCATGTTTTGAAGAAACACTGAAGGGCTCTGTGCTTTCCTGCCCTGCCCAGGTACAATTTGATGGCAGCGTGGGCATCCCACTTCAAGGCTTCCTTCAGCAACGCTAACAAAACCTTCTGGGTGTCCGTGTCCATGCTGGTCCTGCTGGCTGCTCTCACGAGCTTCCTGATGGGGCTGTCCCTACAGAGGCCAGCAGATGCAGCCCCTGTGGGCACTGGGGACTCCTGGACACTGGTGCAGCAGCTGCTGTGGCCCTACACAGGACTGCAACACAACGGCCCTCCCCCGGTATAACCCCGGCTCCGCTGCCGGAGCTGCGCTGCCACGCTCTGCCGGACAGGAGCTGAGGCTGCCCTTGATTTAAGGTTACGTGTCTGGGTTTCTTTTGTTGGGTTGTGGGTTGGGTTTTGGGGAGGAGATTAGTTTTTTTTCTTTAAAGCATGACTTGAAATTTTAAAAAAAAGTATTTTTCTTCTCCTTCTGGCAAAAGTTATCTTTAAAAGTAGCTAAAAAGGTCTCAGTTCTGTTGAGGTTTACAATAGAACAGCAATTTTTAACATTGTTAACAATAAACACGTCTAGGTGGTCTAGCCACAAGAGAATAAAGAATTTATTTTGCTTGAACAAAGATAAAATGTTTGCATTTTAGAACCTGTTTCAGTGATTTGAACAGAAAAGTATTTAAGACTTGAAATGTAACTTTTTTGAAAGCTTTTGATAATAAAGTTTTGAAGGAAAGCTTGCTGTATCTAAGAGTATGCTAAAACTCTGGTAGCAAGGAGCAGCTGATACACAGAATCAATAAACAGGAAGCCAGCTCTTTCCACTTTATCCATGGCTTCATTGCTGGCAGAAGCCTTGAGCATATGGTGGAGTGTGGAGTGAAATTCAGACTCTTCTTTCAGCTCTTCTGTAAAAGCTTCACTGGTTTCAGTGAGCTTGAGGTTTTGTACTTTCTCACCATTGAACATATAAAGAGACCAGTCGTTGTCTTTGGCAGAACCCACTGTAAGATGTTCACTTGCCTATGGCAGGAAAAAATGCACCGTGAGGTGAAGCCTGTGCCACTGTCAGAGAACAAATTCTAATATTTGTGTGCCACATGCATTTAGCCTGAGAGTGAGAAAGCCACTCCAGCTTTCAGCAGTGGGGTGTGTTACCTTTCTCCAGCCACACGTGGGAGTGTTTGTCTGGCTGGGAGAAGTTTTAACCATGTGTTTTAGTTCACAGGTGGAGACAAATCAACACTGAGGTTGCTTATTCCCTCCTCTGCAGTAGGGAGCAAAAGAAACCCTACAGGCAGGAAGGAATTTCCAGCTGTTCTTTAAAAAGGTGGCAAAGCAGATTGCTGATTTTCAAGAGGCCTCTGAAGAGCATGAAGCTCTGTCACCCCAGCTCTGGCTAAAGCCTCCCTTGGTGATTTATCAGCTCTGTTTTCCTTAGCAAGTGTCTTTGCTGCTGAGACTTGTGTCTCCTGAGAGCTCTCTCAGGTGCAGTCTGTGACACTGCAGGGGCTGAAGCCACCACAGGTGAGTTCATTGTTTCTGTCTGGCTGGGGAAGGGGTCAGTGCTGGCCTGCTCTGGAAGTTTGGTCTGACTCCACAAACCTTGAACACGACTCGCTCTGGCCCTGCTTCTCCATTCCACTTGCTGTGAGCAAAAGCAAAAGCAGCTGCAAGCAGAGCCATCTGCTCATAGGCCTTCACTTCTGCCAGGGCAGCCTGCAGTGCACAAGTAGCAATCAGACAAAACAGAACTTGCTCTATTTCCCTGTGTTACAGCAATGTCAGGGCCTGCTGTACTCAGTCCCTGGCTCAGCTGGCAGCACAGCAGCTCCCAGTGCAGGAAAGGGTGACCTGAGTGAAAAATGGGAGGGAAAACCACCAGGAAACTCTGGCACTCACCTTCCTGGGCACAGGGACATACTTGGGAGAGTACTCTGCTGGGAAAATGTTCACTCCAGCTCTTTTCAAAGCTGCTCTGAGGGCAAAAGGACTCATCCATTTTCCTGTCATGTGGGAAAGCACCTCCTCCTCTTCCACCACTACTGAAGACAACATACACTGATTATCCTGTTGTACAAACCAGTGAAAGCAACTTACTAGTCATGGAAATAGCTTTCTGGTTTAGGCTTCAAATATTGATATCTTTGCTGGCTATTACCCACATCATCTGCTACTCTGGGCTGTGACCTTTCATTTACAGATCCTGAAGAGAGCCAGCTTTGTGTAGGAATTCAGAAATTAGACTGGTGTACTGATTTGTACAGCAGTGAACAGATGGGTAATCATGAGTAGCTTGAAGTTTGAGAAGCAATAAGGAACATTAGTAGTAGGCTGCTAGAAATGCTTTAACTTCACCTGGTAGAGCTGAGAGGAGAGGAACAATTTTTAGGTCTCTAACAGGTAGAACAGGCTTGAATGCAGCAAGGCAGCACCAGCAGCAAAGCACTGACTGAAACTTTTCAGAGCAAATGCACAGATGCTTTCTCATAGTAAATAACTGAAATTAAATAACCAGCACAGTGCTTGGAAAGGAAGAGAGATTCAAATTACTCTTGTGGAAACATCCCTAATTCTTACTCGGGGACACTGTAATAATTATGGGATTTTTGAACTGCAAATGTTTGATTTTAAAAAATATTGATAGTACCTTAATTTGGATCTGAATGGTTGCAAAGGCTGCAGTAACTGTGAAGAGTCCTTCATCCACCCCAGTGGGGTGCAATTCCCAGGCCTGATAGGGCAGGTTCAGGTGAGCATCCTGGAAAAGGGCTACTGTATAAAAGGCACCCATCCCAAAAGTGATGCTCTTTTCTTCTGCTTCATATGTTATCTCGCTGATGCCATCAGTTCTCCACTGCTGGCCTGGACAAAAAGGAAGCAATGATACACTGATGTACATGGAAGGCTTCTGGCAGCAATGCTGAAGTAAAACAAACCAAAAAAACTAATAACAAAAAAAATGTAAAATCCCCAAATCAATTAACATTGAAGTCCCCCAACTATTTCTGGGCTCCAAACTGGAGCCTTATCTTTACAGCTGGATTGTGACAACAGTCCAACTTGGGTATAAATTCCACTCTTCAAATTTAAAATAAATTTATGTCCTAAGTTCGTACCTGCAGCATCCCATCGGGCTACCACAGGCACTTTAAAATAAATCACATTATCAGGGAGCTTCAGGGTTATCTGTACAGCAAATTGTGTGCCATCTTCAGCCTCTCCTGGGGAATATGGATGCACCTCCAATCCAACATCCAGCAGCTTCGGCAAGACAGGAAAAGGACGGATAAGGGGTTTATCAGAAAATGCAGGATTTTTTATATGAGTTCATCTAACTACTGC